GCTAGTTGTTTGTTTAGTAAATTTAGTTTTGCATTAGTATTTTTTTGTTAGGTGTTAGGGTAACACTGTGGGCACCAGAGGCAGGTAGAGGACCAGCATGCACCTGGGTGGCCGATGGTTTTTTTCACCAGCGCAGGAGAGGCAGCAGGAGCCACGAGTTTCTTTGTTCTTTTGTTTGCTTTCTTTTGAACCAAATAAACCAACAAAAAACGGCAGATCTCCTGCATGGACATTGGACTTCTTTTGCCTGCGTACATCACATCCCCCATGGTGCATCAGTGGTCATTTCATTATGTTTGATATTCAGTTTATTTAGATTTTTTTGGCTTGTAAATAGCCACTACAAGCAGGTTAAGGACCTTCCTCATTGTTAAAAAAATGGGATAGGGGAGATGTGATAATATGCAGGAAGGATTTCTCCTTTGTGTTCCTCACTTCCTGTTGTCACACTTCCTCTCCGCTGAAGTGGAGGTTGGAGCAGGCCGTGCATGAATGATATCTGAACTATTAACTAACTATTTCCCACACATACATGACACCCGGGCGGGCGGCCTAGGTGTATTTGCAGCTGGTTAAGTATATTCCGGTCCATTTATTTCTTATTTTATCCGTATATAACCACCAGCTGAGAGACAGGGCTGGTACATCCCTCCTGTGGATGCAGCGTTGAGGTGCGGCGTCTCATGTTGAAACTCATTATATTAGCAGGGTGGCCCGCACCCCTTGAAGGTCAAGTTAATAAAAACAAAAGATTTATTGATTATTTTAGATTTATTTTTGGGTAGAAATAGGATAGTGGACAGAGTTGGAAATCAGGGAAAGAAGTCATTTAAGGATACCTTTCCGATAGAACAGGCCAGCTGACATTTAAAGTAACGCATGAACACCAAGATTTCTTCAAGTGTTTGTGTCGGCGTCCGTCTGTCCGCCTGAAAGTGACGCTTCATGAGTCAAGAGGAGAGGAACAAGTGTGTGTGGATGTGCTGATATGAGAATGGAAGAGGAGTAAGATGGGCAGATTAGAGTTACATGTTACACACACTACAATCAGTTAGAGAATGAAGCAGAGTTATTATATTCAAACCTAATATTTAAATATTACCTAACCTAATTTAAACAGGGTATAAACCCCCCCGCCCCCACGACCTCCACAGCAGGTACAGCGTCATTCTGTGGGAAACACTACAGTCCACTCTGTTGTGTCGACATTGAAAGCATCATAGGTGACAAACAGACAGTCACTGACTCTCGACTTTGTAAGTCTATCATGTTGATAAACTTACAAGGTAGCACATTGACCTTACCTGTCATGAAATGTGCTTTATTTCCTTGTTAATTGTTTAGCACCAATACACCAAGTCAAATTCCTTGTATGTGTAAATGTAGTTGGTAATAAACCCAGATTCTGATTCTGATTCTAAATAAACTTCTATTCTATTCTATAAATACAGCAACCTGTCAGGAAGCATTCCACACACACACACACACACAAGACTTCAACTATGAAAGACAATGACAAGCTCACCGTTAAATCAATACCGACTACAAGGTGCGTACAGGTGATAAAGGTGACAGGGGGAAAAAAAGTGCTGGAGGTGTGGGTGTGGCTAAACTGAGACACAGAGAGAGAGAGAGAGAGAGAGAGAGAGAGAGAGAGAGAGAGAGAGAGAGAGAGAGAGAGAGTCGAGGAAAGACAGAAAGAAGAACACACCTTGCTGTTGACAGCGAAACAGAGACTGTAACATCACCACTGTTTTAATTAGAGATGTGTCTCCTCGTGGATATCACCACATGCTGCAGACGGACTACAAAAACATGAAAACTGAGGAGGGTGTTGACGGCTCTTTCAACTCTTCGCTTACATGGCTCAGGGGGAGACAGCAGACGACACGTTTTGGATGAGAGTAGTACACAGAGATTGACACCTGAGCAGTCCCTCATAGTTGGCCAGGTAAGATGAACAGTAAAACTGTGAAGGTGAATCAGAACATGTGTGTGTGTTTGTGTGAGTGTGTGTGAAACTAATTCACTTTGACTGAAAAGCAGTGAAATCACTTATTTGTGTTGTGATTTTCTAATTCTTTACTGTAAATCTCCTGAAGAGTTCCCTCACAACACGTGTCTGCTTTCACTTAGGGGCTCCAGCTCTCATGTCCCTGACACAGCAGAGTTTGTTTCTGAAACATCCTTTCATCACATGTCTATACGTTAGTGTAGTACGTGTATTAATGCATTATATCTTCTGAAAAACAAAACACTGTTTGTCTGAGTTAATGGTATAGTTGTTTACATTTCACATTTCTGCTATAATCATATGTGACATGTTTACTCTTCATGTTTTGTTGAGCATTTGCACGTCTGTGTGTCTTTAACAGCATGTTGAAGTGTCTGTTCTTATCGTGTGTGAGTGTGTGTGTGTGTGTGTGTGTGTGTGTGTGACAAGTTGACCCAGTCTTTTGTTGTGCAGGTAAGCTCAGGTATGTGTTAATGCAGGAGGGGTGTAAGTGGATGTGAGAGGAACAATGTCGACTAACTGGTTTAGAGGCATCCATCCTTTACAAGCGCTGAGCACCGTGTCAGAGTGCTCACTCCTTTAAAATGCTCAATACCAGTTTGGTTTCATAAGGCGAGTGTGTGTATGACTGTGTGTGTGTGTCACACCACAAGTTTCCCATACTCTGATGATGAGGGTGACACAGCATTATTATAAGCACATAGGTCACATACAAACCTGTACGGTAGGTAATGACTGTTTTCACTCTGTAATTAGCTCATTAATTGATGTTGTTAACTATTACTATGATTACTAAATAAATGACTCATCAGCTGTTGGTTGCTCATGGTCAGTAAAACAGATGAAAACATGTCAATAAATAAAAAGGGTTGGGTGCTCTAAACATGTTACACACAAAAAGAGGGGGAGACCCCAGACCTGACACTCCAGGCATGAAACATGTAGAAATGAGGAAGGACATATTGAAAAAGGGCTTCAGTTACAAAGGTGTAATCGTTAAAAAAAGGCAGCCATGTTTTGATTAAAGAGGCCAACGTTATCACAGTGTGACGGCCTGTACAGCGTGGATTGTGATGTGCATCATGAAGGTAGTTTCTTCTTCAGAACACACGGACCTATTCATTCGTTTGAGTCCACAACGCTTAAATCTTGACATCACGACATGTGATGAACACCTTCAACTGTGTTCAGTGAAACCACAAACAAGAGAGAACACTTTTACATGAATTGAATTGAACTATTTTTCAATTCAAAACGATTCTGGATTCATGATTCAAAGTTCATTTTTGAACTTCAGGATCTACTCCAGTCTGTGAGACTGGCTGAATTTCTTCCTGCTCCATTTTCATTATACTGACTTGAAGAGATAGCATTAGCACTTAGCAAAGAGTGGCTGATTAGCCCCCAAACAAAAATCTATTTTTAGAAGTTATGAATCTATTTAAAATCTCAAAAGATAAGGATCTCAATTCTTACATAAATCGATTTTATTTCCCACCCCTAATTGAAAGATGGATGATCTTTAAAATTTGGTTAGTGGGATTGGACTGCAGTAAAAAATGATTTGAAGAGGTGACTGACAAATAAAACCCCTTTACATTCTCACTTTGCACTAATTATTTAATCTATAAAGAAGAGTCAAATGTGGACATGACATTCAGATTGGGATAATAGTGAGTAGCAGCAGCTTTGGGAGGAGACGTCCTGTGTAATATTCATGTTGGTGCTACTGCTGTGAACTCCTGCATCGAAGACGAGCCTTGTTTTGATTTGACCCGGGCGCCACAGAAACCTCTCGTGGCTTCATTTGTTAAAGAAATGAGAGGGGATTGGGCAGACAACAGTATTGGTGCCTCGACTCGTACAAAGCGGTTTCCGTGGCAGCTGTAACCTCCATGATTTGAATATGTACACAAATATTTTAGTGTCTACAAATTCTGTTAAAAAGCTTGTTGGAAAAGTTGACCTGGAGCACAAGTTCAAATTTACAAGAGGGCGACCTCTGTAATCACAACTTCTACTTTTTATGTCAGAGTTCACCAAGTACAGACTTCAACCTGTCGGGCTGCCTCGGATTATTAAAGGCTGCCCTTTAAAATAATTTGTATTTCTAGTTTTACAGACAACTGAGACATTGTGAGACGATTGATTACCTTTTAGAAAACGATCACCTTGCTCTACCTCCCATGTGCCCGTTTGCTCTGCTCTTGTGAGAGGGGGTCTACAGACATGCTCAGTCGAGAAACAGTAAAAAGGAGCGCTGGTTTAGATTCTTCCTTAGAAACACTGTTTGACCACATCCTCCTCGCTCCGTGTGTGATCGGAAAATAAAAAATGTCAAATAAAAAGAAAATGCAAAATGCCGTTGTCAGCAGACTGTTGTCATGGAGACAGGACAGACATGCAGTGCTTTTCTTCTCAGCAAACAAACGCTTCATGCAAACACTTCTGAGAGCACAGCCAGCGCATTTCTGCCTGTAAAAAACGCCAGGTGGACATGGGGCCTAAATTGTCAAAATAAGCAATTTAATTCTAAATTTCATAACATTTTAAATAAAACAAAAACATAAAAAGTGATCCTGCTCCTCCTGTGTAAAGAGTTAGAAGAGATGTTGCACTCAGTCCCAGCTTAAGGGATTTGGGACGTCTGCTGAGCTGAGGTAATGCTGATCTCTTACACCAGTTAAAAGTTATGTTGATATATCTCTTCTCTCTTTTCTCCAGCATGTCATCCAACACCTCCAGCGATAATCTGTGTGCATCGGATGACAAGCTCTGCAGTAAGGACACACTTCTTCCTCTCCTCGTCGTCACCTCCTACACTTCCTCCTCACACCTCAAATCTTTGATCTCCTTTTAACAAATCTTCAGATTTCTCTTTACAATCGGGATAACAGCCTGCTCTGGTGTGGTCACTTGTCTGCTCAGCTGAAATCACAGATAACTTGTTTTGTGCAGACTGCAATCAAGATCATTAAAAACACCCATGAACAGTGTGGTGATAGACAAGCAGAGAAAATACAGTCTGACCCGACCCACACTCTTCACTGTGAGCCTCAACTTTGACCCTCTGGGAGAATATTCAGGGTCCCTCATTTGTGCTGATGTCCTTTAACATTCTGAATAAGAGGTGATGTAGGGTGATGTGCAGAGGGGCCGTGCAACAGCTGCAGGAAGGTTTTTATGTACATGTGGAATTGTTACAGGTTTTGCATGATGACCGAGTCATAGACACATTTCCCTTGGGGGACAACACACTAATCAGTATATCTCATCTTATCTACAATCAAAAGAGATCCCGTGTTTGTTTTTTACAAAGCTGAACTTTCACATTTGGCAGCTACATTGGGATGAAGCTAGAACAGTTCTGGAGTTTCCCAGAATGAGGAATGAGCTTCAACATGACACTTCACTTTTCTTCCTTCTTTTGAGTGTCCATCTTTTCTCCTCTGTTAAGCGTTGGTTCACGATGGCTGATTCCTTCTACTCTCTTCTAATCTTTTGTTCAGATGTACTTTTTTTAAATTACAGCCTTAGTTTAACATCTTTCTCTCCCCTGTACATTTCCTATCATTTCATTTTTATTAAAGAGGATTTCTAATCTCAACAAGTTTTCCTCTGGTTGAATAAAGGTTCAAATAAATCACTCGCTCTCCCTGCCTTCAAGCAGAAACTGATTTAACTGTCAGTGAGTATTTTAATGAATTGAATAGAAGCAGATATTTAACTAAGCATTTATCAAACTGTTGGTGTTTCACTGCAGTCACATCATTTGTCTCTGTCACCATTCAGCCAAAGAAAAGTGAGTCAAAGAAGAGTTACGACTCAGATACAAAAAAAGAATAATCTGAAATGAGCTTTTCAGGTCTGATAATATCTTTGTTATAAAAGGGCTCCTCTCTACAAGGCCGTTAAAAAACCCAACCTTCAGGTGATGTCATTAAAAGTACAGGAGTACTGTTCAATCTTTATGATTTATTAAACTAACCCTCAGCAGGTTATGCTAAGCTAAATATTTGTCCACCTAATAACAGAAGTCTTAGTTTAACAAAGACGACCATTGGGTGTAAGAGCTGTTCAAAAACTGATTGATGATATTCTGTAAATCCCTCACCACTCCTAACAATGTGCCACAACCTGAACATGAAGTTTACACAGAGCAAAGAATTTACATTCAAGTCTTTAACCCTCGAGCAGCGTTGGATTAACATCAGGTGTCTGACAACAGAAGGTGTGTAAGATGAAGGATATGACTACAGATAACAAGTATCGTAGTTTTGTAAGGGTGTGTGTGTCTGTGGCACTGAGAGGGAGTGAAGGGTCAATGTGGAGGATGAAGTTAACTCGGAGTGATATAAGGAAATGAATGAATGAATGAATGAATGCTAGTGGAGAAAAATAACATATTTATAGTATCCAAAGTAGAACCGCAGTTTTCTCGAGGAACTGGCTGCTAACGAGTGTTCCAGATGAAGGATTTGAATGATCTCTTAATCACCATCAGAGAAACAAGCTGAGCACAACTCATAAAGTTGGACAGTGCATACACGAGTAAAAAACATGGATGAACTGAACTAGACAAACCTCTTAAGCCGGGGTACAAACTAAAAGATAATCGGGTCTAATTTAGGCCCGCCTTCCCCTGCTCAAAGTCAGCAAAGGCCTGATTATCTTTCCAGATTCTCCCGTGGTGTGAGGTGTGTTAAGAGTGATTTTACCCTGCGCCCCGATTTGAAATATTTTCGATCAAAAATCCTGTGAATTGTCAGGTGGAACAAAGCAATAGCCAATCAGGAAGCAAGCTGACTGAAGCAGGAAGCACAGCAAACATAACCATGGAGACAACAGCAAACGAGAAGAATGAAGTTAGAGTGTTTATACAACGTGTTCTGTTAAAGAAACCACAATCCAACGAGGAAAGGACCAAAATGAAGATCTGCTTTTATACACTCCTGAAAGTGCACCGCCTCCTTCGGCCCTGACATTCACATGTGAACTTCTCTCTTCCTCTCTCAGTAGCAAAAGAGCATGACCTGGCCGTGATCATCGTCCCCGTGCTGCTCCTCCTGGGCTTCCTCCTCACCCTACTCTCCTTGTGCATAGTGAAGTATTGTCCTGAACGGAGGCCCACACGGATCAAGACACATCAAAGCTACCACAGCTCAACGCACAGGCACACACACACACAAAGGCCCAGCCGCAGAGATCACCTGCGGGGCATTGATGGTCAGCAAGCGAGCATGCAGTCGTCTCTGTGTTCATTTAACCTTGTTTCAGTCTTTTGACAGAACTACACACAGACATTTGTAACTCTGCTAAACGTCTCTCTCTTCCTCTCTGAAGCTCCCCCAGGGATTAACCCACTGGAACATGAAGCGCTGCCAATGTCAGTTCAAGAAGTGCAGCAGAATGTCAGACCAACTCTGGCTGCAGTACCGCAGATGTCCACAGAGGGCACAACAGAGGCTTCAGCCAAGTCACTGCCTTGCCGTTACACTTCTCCATCGACCCTGATAACAAAGTCGGCCTGTACAGAGCTCGCATGGAGAACAGGGACGTCATTCTGAGGGTGCTGAAAGGTAAACATCCTGCAGCTGGAAGAATCTCAGACAACACAGTCAAACTTACTGAATGTGTGCCAGCTAAGTTTTCATATCAGTGTCTGAGAGAGAAGAGGACGCTCTGATAACTGGTTCACTACATTAACATTTTATAATATGTCCCTGGTTGTGCTTTGGTTTAATTTTCCACTGTCTTAAAAACATCAAATAGACGAACCCTTCACTGATTTCACACGTTCAAAATGTGTAAATTATTCATGGCACTATTTGAAAAAGTACGTTTAAATCCTTTAAAAATTAAAGTTGACATGCAGGATGTTTTCAGTAAACGTTTTAGAAATAAAAAAGCGTTGTCTGTTGTCTCACCTTTTCCACAGAAACAGCAAACAGCAGTGAGAAGCAGCACTTCTTTGGTTTTGCTTCGTTCGTGTCAGGACTGGGGCCACACCCCTTCCTACCAGCGCTGCTCGGTGTGGTTTCAGAGCCTCCGATGATAGTGGTGGAGGAGCTGCAGCACAGAGACCTGCTGGGCTACCTGTGGAGATGTCGACAGGTACAGGAGTCACAGACACGTTTAAAATAAATGTTCCCATAATGGTTTATGCATGATGTTATTTATGAGGTTTATAATACAAACTGCAGTTAGTGCTCCTCTCAGGAAGCAATATTTTAGAGCTTTTATCGCAGGCTTCTTCAGAACCAGCTCATCTCAAGCCGGACACTAGTGTGAAAAGTTGTGAAAAGCTAAATGGGCAGATAGTGTATAGTGTAGTGTGGCAGAGAAATGTTTGCATATTGTAATTCCATGCTTAAATGAACAAAGAGTCTCCACAAACAATCTTAAAAAAGCATAATTTCGTCTAGAAGGTGGAGGGAATTTGGGTGGAAAAATGTTATATGCTTTTTTGTCACACCCCAAATAAAAAATAAGCAACTCGGTATTCCTCAGCAATGTTGGAGACAGTGTGGGCAGATGAATGCCAATAACTCACATATTTTCTGGTTATGTGTAAAAGACTTAAGAGGAAATATTGAGACAGAGCCCCTCACTACTTTGATGTGTGTTTGTGTATGTTTTGTTGTGCTTTATGTTTGTTAAATTTGGAAATAACAAAAAAAAAAAAGAAGCATAATTTCTCTGATAACTGAAGGTCTAAAACATAGAAAATAGTGGTAAAATAAAAGGTATCCAAAATCAGTGGCACAAAAGTTGCCTGATGCAGTAAAATGTAAACAGTTAGGTCATTATGTGCTGAACATTAAATCATGTAAAGGTAAAGTTATAGCTGTCTTTTTCCTCTGGGGGGCAGTATTGTGCATTATATCCTACCACTGAAGGAGAGAGACACTCAAAGCTGAAGCTGACAGGAACAGCGTGAGCACCGATATCAAATCATTAGCTGATTATTAGTTCACATTATGACAGAGGGAGATAGGCATGTCACATGACAAACAGGACAGGTCTGGGTTTTATTATTCAATGGGCTGAAAAACAACAGGAAAGTCATGTCTTTCTTCTCCTCTGTCCCTGAAGGAAAACTCCAGTTCACAGTCTTCATGTGAGATGACGGAGAAGAGGATCTTCACGATGGCAGGACAGGTGGCCTCTGCTCTGGTTAGTTAAAAAAGATGTCCTCTTCTCTGCCTGTGTCTGTCACTGCTCCACTGACTTGTAAAAAAACAGAAAGATCTCCCTCTGTTTTCCATGCATATCTCTCTTTACGACTATATTCTTTGTTATTCATTTGTTTCTATCCCTTTAAATGTTTCCCTGATTTCACATTTATAGAAAAACTGTCTAAACATTACTTTCACAGTGTGTCAATTCCATTACGCTCTCAGGATGTATGAAATATTCTGATTGAATTTGAATGAAGTACAAATCTAGTATATACCTTTCAAAGCTACATGTAGTTGATAATCTTGTAATGTGAAACTTTCATACAACTCGTTAGTCCTAAAGTTCCTCTTTCCATCTTTGTCTGAACATCTTCAAGGAGTACCTGCACAGTCAGGGCTGTATCCATGGCAACGTGGGAGCTCGCAGTGTTCTGGTTGGTGGAGATCTGACAGCCAAGCTGTGGGGATTGGGCTCGGCCCACCGCAGGAGGACACAGGCCAACGTGGGAGCGGGAGAGGACGTGGAGATGAAGAAGTGGCAGGCCCCCGAGGTGCTGGGCAGGAGAGCTGTCAGTCAGAGCAGTGATGTGTGAGTGTCCGAGTCCTCTGTGAGAATATTAACCGACACAGTGATGAAGAGTGAATAGAAAGTACGAGGGAAATGACCTACACGGAGTTATCAAAGAGAGTCGGAGATACTGAAGGTTATCATCTGAGTGTTTGATAAACTGATCTGTGGGAATTGAAGCGAGGGGGCGCCGGTGGCCTGGTGCTCAGTGCGCGCACCCCCATGTGTGGAGGTTATGGTGATCTAATCCTGCATTCGGGTCTGACCTGTGGCTCCCTTTGGTCCCCTGCTCTCCCTCTTCTGATTTCTAACTCAGTCCACTTTTTGTCTCTGAATGGAGCCAATAAAAAAACCAAAAAATGAAACCTTAAAAAATGCATCCTTTATAATAAGTTAAATTGAACATGAGATTAAAAAAATAAAAGTGAACACTTTATAATCAATGTACCAAACCAGATCAAGAAGAGCTGCAACAAGCTTTAAAGCCACTAGATGTCGCAGTGAAGCCAGGAAGCTTCAAATAAACTTCAAAAGCTTCCTTAACCTTCACACGCTCTTCACATGAATTATATAATTATTGTTTCAAGAATGGCTGTTTCTTCTGTCTCTTGTCTTCTATACACTTTAATGGATACATTTTAAAATAAATCCCTTTTATTGACATAAAACACCCTTCTCTAACTCTGCTTCACAGGTGGTCTTTTGGTATCCTGCTCTATGAAATGGTCACATTAGGTAGGTACTGTTAACTCCATTGTTTATTTAAAGAAACGTGTAAAGAGTATACATAACAAGAAAATGAAATGTTGGAACTTTTAGCACCATTACCAGCAAGAATACACATTACCACCACTAACACAATCAAAGCCACAGTCAGTAAAACCTCACAACGCTTTGCTCCTACAGGTTCATTTCAGATATATATTTATTCGTCCCGTATGTTTGTGTTTGTCCAGTAAACGACTTGAATCTTACTGTAGATTTCTCCTCCGTATGCAGGTGACCCACCGTTTGCTCAGCTCATGGCGACTGAACTCTTGCAGTATCTACAGAGAGGAAAACATCTCAAGCGGCCAACAGCCTGCTCCAACTCCCTGTAAGATAAACAGCAGAAAGGTTTTACTGTTTGGGGTGTTAGAAACATTTTGGGAAACGGTCATTATCTGTGACAAATCGGGTAATGGTAAATGGACTTGAATTTTAGTGTCGCGCTTTTCTAGTCTTCTGACTACTCAAAGCACTTTTACACCAAATGTCACACCTACACATTCACACACTGATGGCAGAGGCTGCTATGTAGTGAGACCCACAGAAGCAACTAATCCAATTCATACACCACCGACAAAGCAGTGGGAGCAATTTGGGGTTGCTCAGGAGCTAGGGATCGAACCCTAGACCTTCAGGTTGAGACACAAACCAACTGAGCCACAGCCGCCCCTAATGCAAAATCATTTCCCCCTTAGTGTAATGTAATAATGCCTCAGTGGTTTTAAAAATCACAATTTATTATAAAATATTGTGTTTTCTTTGTGTTGAGTATTCACTTACACAGTTATCTAAAACTATCATGTACCATAAGCTGTAATACCTCTTATATCCTTTGATATGTTACCGAAATCTATGAGGGACAAAAAATGGCTAAAGTATAAATAAATAAATGAATGAATAAATAAATAAATAAATAAATGTTGGGAGAAATGCTTACAATAATGTATAAATAAATAAATGCATCAACAAATATATAAATAATTAAATAAATGCATCAATAAATATATAAATAAATATATTCACATATTTATTTATGTATTTCTGTGTCCATGTTCTATAAGGAAAAGTAAATATGTAAATTAAGTGGGCCGTCCTAACATTACTGAAGTAGGATTGGTCAATTTTGAAAACAGACAGAAGCAAATTTACATAAATACTTTTCCTCTTACGACCTGGACACAGAAATAAATAGATGTGTAAATGTAAAAATACGGAAATAAATTAATAACTCAATTAATGTGGAAATGTATGCATTGGCTAATAAATGAATAAATACATGTAAAAATATATAAATAGCCTTTTTCTATCTTTCAACAAAGAGTATTTATTATTTATTCATTAATGTATTGATTTCAGCATTTATATATTTATTGATGCATTTATTTAATCATTTATACATTATTGTATGCATTTCTCCCAACATTTATTTATTTATATATTTATTGATGCATTTATTTATTTATAAATTGTTGTATGCATTTCTCCCAACATTTATTTTTTAATTTTTTATTTATACTTTAGTCATTTTTTGTCCCTCATAGAAATCCTTCTTCTTAACATATATAATACTGTGGAGTCTCTAAAGTCGGGTACCAAAACTTTCCGTCAGTACTAATTTCTCCGATAATTCGCGACAGCACCTGAATGCAGCGTTTCATTAAACTGCTAAACTAAAGCTAACTAACCATTTTAAAACTTGACTGACTGCCCAAAGTGTCTATATTTGTTTTGCTGCTGTTTTTATTCGATTTGGAGAAATTACTTATCATTTTAACTAAATGTAACTATTTTTAAAAACAACGGTTAACGGGTACGTGTACAATCTTAATAAAACAGTGTGATTACATGATTACTAACTTGTTACATAATGTAGAAATAATAAATAAATATTAATCTCCCAAATAAAAGTTAAGCAGTGTTTCACCTTCATCTGCAGGTACTCCTTAATCCGGTCCTGTTGCCGTTGGAACCCCCAGCAACGATTCTCAACGTCGGAGCTGATTGGAACACTTCAGGCGGGAGAGCGATCAGCCAATGGGACGAATGTGATTAGAGTGCCGGAACCAATGAACATCGAAAGATACCTGAGGGAGGCGGGATATGGAGAAACCCACAACTATGCTGTTCTCTGATTGGCTGTTATCAGTCAGGACTATATTGGCTGGTGGTGCTGTTGTTGGGAAGACCAGAGGACTGCTGCAAAAATGAAGAATTCATGAAAATAACTTTATCAAAATCGTTTAATATAATGAATTATAAAAGTTTATGAAGGATGTTTAACTATTGCTACTTTTTGCTATTGAAAACTCAGACACTTTATATGTTGAGAAGAGATTAATATATATTGTAAATATGACTTTAACTAAAACAATGGTTATCTAAAAGAATGACAAATGCATGTTCCATTTACTTTTCTACTGTGACCAGTGTTGATATGTAAGAAACTTCTTAAAGGCGCTCAGCAGAGATGAAGGCACTTGATAGGATACTATTCAAACTAACACTGGAAAATGAAAGCCACAATACTTTATTTCCATCTTTATTATTTCTTTGTGGCAAATGTGGGGATTTTTACTTTTTGTTTGTGATCTGAAAGCCTTACACAGATTTGAACATAATTACAAAGTTGAACTGTCAATATGTATTTTTCTGTCCTTTTAATGCCTTGCTGAAAAGCCAGTTGCCCTTTTGGGGACAAATGGAGCTGGAGTTACAGAAGTTGATTCAAATGCATCGAGAACACCTTTTGGGTTACTCGTGAAGAAATAATAATAATCTGCTCGGTAAGTTACGTTTACTGAAACCAGATGTATCTGAAATCTGCTTGAAGGCAGAGAATAAGACAAGGGGCCCTGCAAAAAATAAATGTTGAATGGTTTCGCTTGTCCTGAAGGAAATCCATACACGAGCTTAGTAGGTCAGCTGTTTGATTTCTTGAATGAAAACACAGACGCCACAGTTTAAGAACAGTTCCTTGATTATTTATTTGCATGATAGTATTGTTAGCCTCTCCCGTCTGACTCAGTCCCTCCAAGATTAAATCAAGATTTTGATTTCTGCAATCAAGCACATTTTGATTCTGAAGTAGCCTCTGTATTTAAAAAAAAAAAAAGTCCCTTTTAAGAGTTTTTAGTGAAAAGTGCTACTTTGTGGGATAACAGTGATTGAGTGAACAGGGTCGCTGTAGTCTGCTGGTCGATGGATATAACTCAGGTCATCACAGCAGAACTTCAATGATTTGACGATTAAATTGTCGCCCACTTTATTTGTAATAGAGTTTTTTTTTTTGGTTTTCACTAAATGCTGAGGGATCTGCTGATTTAAACGCTCCTAAAATCCAGAGCCGGCTGACACACAACACACGAAGCTTCTTCCCCTTTTAGAGGGAAATACTGTCGTAGCCACAGTCACTAACAATGAAGCCAAAGGAAGCTAGCTAGAAAGATAAATACTGTTGGTAATAACACGCTAAGTGACGAAGCTAATGAGGAAGACGGAGAGTTTCCTTGATCAAGGTCGCTACTATTCAGTCACGCTTTTTTTTTGGGAAAGGCAACGGATGTCATTGCTTGAAATAACAATCGTAGAAAAGTAAGCACTAATATATAAAACAAGGAATGATATGAAAAGCAGTTTAAAAAACAGACTCATCTAAAACGATCGTAGAGACTAGTGAGAAAGGCCACGAGGTTCACACAGAGAGAGAACATGACAGAAGTCCTACAGTCCAAAGCTGAAACAAAGGCAGCAAACAGATACTTAAATAGAAAGGCAAACTTTACACTTATTACAGAATATCTCCAGGTGTCCTCACTCGCTCCAGCTCACTCATTCAGGTCGTTTTTAGTCTTTTTGTATGTAGGTCCACGGTGGCTGCCGGCCGACGTCTCGTCACAGACTTTCTGGTTTTGTTCACAAACAACGCTTTAAAAGAAACTTCAAATTTAAACACTTATCACAGTTAGTGCTCATTTCCATTCTTCATCGGTTCCAGCATCTCTTTGAAACTTTACAACATTTGACAAAATCAAGTCGTTACCCTTTTTTCACTTCTGTATCGATCAACAACAAACAACAAACATTTTGAAATGATCGGACAGAACAAAAAGTCAGAGATTTGGAAGATTTCAGTCCTTTGTCCAGAGCAGCGTCAACAATAACTCAGATGATTTATTCACATTTACACTGAACTCCATGTGTTCAGGAAAGTATTAGAGTGTTTCTTCTGTTTCGTTAAAGGCTTTATATGCGATTTTTTGATCCAGCAGATGTCGCCCTTGAGCACCAGCATGAAACCAAAACAAGTCGCGCTGCATTGTTGAGTACAGTATGTTATTCTTCTTTTCTCTAGTCCCTCAATTAAACAACTTTTTTCTGCTGAATCCGTTTGTCAGCCTCACTGGAAATCTGATTTTCTGTCTTTGCACCATGACAGATGGTTTTTCTTCAGACTCTGGTCCAGATCCTTGTCCTCTTAGTGTACCCTGTTCATGTCCAATAGGCAGGTTTAAACATTAAAGCGCTACGATTCAGATTTAGAGGATTCAATCAGCTGACTGTTCTAGTTTTTACATTCATAACAGAGACGTTATGACTCCAAATACCTCTATGAAATGAGGAGTCAAGTTAAAATCACTGATTCTTCAGTTCAGGGTCGATTTCCGGTTTCTTTTCATCTTTTTTGTTGTAATTTGATGCAGATTTTGGCTCGATCAAACGCAGCGTTGGATTCAAAAACACATTCGAGGAAAAAGGCAAAAACGTGTTGAACTAAACGAGAACAGGCGTTGTCTTTAAGGCAACACAAAAAAAATGTAGAAGAAGAAGAAGCAGTGAGTGAATATTTAAAAAGTGACTTTTCTGTACACTATGATACAACAGAAGAACAGAGAGGAGTGTTTATCTGTTGAACGTTTCGCTGAACTGAAGAAATCAGGAAGTGAGAAGTGAAGCTCTGTTCACACATGACTCATTTAAATGTGGTCATCTTTACAGCTTATTACCCAGAATTCACTCTGACTGACATACAACTCAACTCACTGCACCCTGCTCACCCACCCGCCTGACCACCACGGGGTCCAGAGCCATCAGAGGTTAGGAAACTCCCACCCACCAGACATCTGTAACATCGACTCTCTCTCCATTTTCAAACTGTGAATTTCTCTTTTTTTAAAGTTCATTTGTGACTTTGTTCTTCTTCTTTTATCTCTGCTTTGTAAGGTGACCTGGAGTGTTTTAAAAGGCGCCTATAAATACAATGTTTTATTATTATTATTATTATTATTAAAATACATTCAAACCCTTCATGTTTTCATTTTACAGGAAAAGTCAAATCGACTGAAAGTGTGCGTCTAATGATCTTAATCTCTCGATGATCCTCTTCTACGAGCACACAAGAAAAAGTGCTAAAGAGCAAAAACAGGTCGTCTACAGATTCAAGTGCAGCAGCCCGTGTGCGGTTCAAGAGCTTGGTTTGGTACCTCTCACACACACACACCTGCAGGACGCGGCCCGCTCTGACAGCAGGTTTCAATAGGAGCTGGATTCTTGATTTTCATTGTCTATGACAGCATCAGTCTCTCAGGGTGTTGATGTGGGCGCAGATCTTGAGGGCCGGTCCCAGCTTGATGTTCATGGTGGACATGAGATGTTCCTCCTTCAGCAGCAGCAGGGCCTGTCCGTCGATCTCCTGCGACAGGAACTGGGGCGCCAGATCCTCGCAGCCTGCAGAGACCAGGAAGACGAGATTACACAACTTGTGTTTTCATCGACACTTCAAACATCAATGTTGAAGACAAGCAAACAGATGAGAACAAAAAGATCAGATATCTGGTTGACCTTGTAGCGAGAGATAAACTGCGACACTTCCTCGACGCTCCACTGGGCGGGGCTTTCAGGCGGGGCAGAATTCTCTGTCGGGATCGGAGGAGGCTGCTGCTGCTGGTGGCAGGAGGCCGAGGAGGCGGGCGAGAGGGACATGGGGTCGTCTTCATCCTCCTCTCCGCTGGACTCCTCGTCTGAATGGCTGGACTCTGAGCGGCACTGGGAGGGGGGGGAGGGGACGCCATGAGCAAGGCCGTAACAACAGATCAGTTGATAACAGGGAACCTTGTGGTTACACGGATCGTTTCAAGAGACTGAAGATTATTTATGTAAAAGCAGAAAAAATAAAGCTCAGCGGACGACAAAGCAAACGTAGCAGCTTTAAGATAAAGTAGATAATTCAAAGTGTCATTAATAGAGTTCAGACCTGAGACAGTTTGGCAGCTTCACAGTAAGAAAGGAGAAAACAGTGCATGAGTGTCCACTAGGGGGCAGCATGCTTCCCCAGAAGAAAAAGCCTTTAAATGGATCAATTATTTGCTTCTAGAAATGTGTTAAAACTCAGAGTAATGCTAATACCCCTCTGGAGTTTCAACACTGATTGTTTTATTAGCTGCTCACTGAGACAGGTCAGAGGATAAATCTATTATTTCACTGTTTCTAAGTTACAGGAGCATGATTTAAAGTGATGGTGATATTAGAGGTCCACCATGTTAATGTGACGACTGAAACCTCTCCAGTGTAAAGATATGAAAGCTCATTAAATCTCTCCACACTTTTAAACGACTCAGACATTTCCTATCATTCCTCCAGCTGCAGGAAATGTCCGTCTCTCTCTCTCTCTCTCACCTTGACAGGTAACGGTCTCCCCGCTATCTTGGCGCTGGCTATCTCCGAGCTGGTCCTCCGGGGAACCCTCCTCCTGGCGACGCCCCCCTCCTCGTCCGAGTTGGACAGATGACCGTGGTGGACCTGATCCTGATCTGAAGCGTTGTTGTGACCTTGAGCCTGCCGCACGCTGAAGCTCTGCCTGAAGCTGACGTTGTACCTGGGGAACCAATACATACTGTATCGTAGACAAAGAGTGACATATACGGTACTGAAGCCAAGACGAGCAACACATACAAGATTTCATCTCTTTGCACCACGCTGCGTATACAACACTATACACAGCGTGCAGCGGGCAAAGAGAGGAATGCAAAGCAAGAGGAACAATGCAGACGGAGCATTGTTTAAAACACATGACAGAATAAATACAAGACTTTGTATATGGAGACGTTCAAATGGAAAAACTAGCCGAGCTGCTGGAGTCCATTTGACATGAAAACAGAAAACATACATGCTGTGAGATATGCAGCTGCAGCCACATGAGGATTCAAACCCTGCTGTTCCCACACTGTTCTTCTAAAACCATCAGGATTTAGGATTTAGGGTTCTAGCTCCAGTTCTTAGTGTGAGACATGTGAGGCTTCAGTGTCTGTCAGCAGTAGAGGGTTTGTTTCCTTAACATGGCTCCCGCTGCATATATTAGATTTCATGCATGTTGAAGTACCTCTTGGCACAGGTCATGGAGCAGAACCTTTTGGTGCCTCTGAACTGGCTGGCAGGAGCAAAGTTTTTACAGTACTCACACTTCAGCACTGAGGGGACAAAAAGAAGAAGAAGAGAAGAGGGTCAAAATATAAATCATGTCTTCAGGGAAGAAATTCATGAGCAGCAAGTCGATAAAGCAACATCAGAAAATACTGACAAAAACACAAAACTGAACTCCAATATCTGTGTTTCATTTTTAATATCAATGTTAAGATGCCTTACAGAAAAAGTCAAAGGTCAAACCATGACCCTGGTTTGAAGAACAAAGGTCAAACCATGACCCTGGTTTGAAGAACAAAGGTCAAACCATGACCCTGGTTTGATGAACAAAGGTCAAACCATGACCCTGGTTTGATGAACAAAGGTCAAATCATGACCCTGGTTTGATGAACAAAGGTCAAACCATGACCCTGGTTTGATGAACAAAGGTCAAATCATGACCCTGGTTTGATGAACAAAGGTCAAACCATGACCCTGGTTTGAAGAACAAAGGTCAAACCATGACCCTGGTTTGAAGAACAAAGGTCAAACCATGACCCTGGTTTGATGAACAAAGGTCAAACCATGACCCTGGTTTGATGAACAAAGGTCAAATCATGACCCTGGTTTGATGAACAAAGGTCAAACCATGACCCTGGTTTGATGAACAAAGGTCAAATCATGACCCTGGTTTGAAGAACAAAGGTCAAACCATGACCCTGGTTTGATGAACAAAGGTCAAACCAGGGCAGATGATACATTAGCTAAATAAATATTTGAGTTTATTAGCGTTCAACCTTTATTAAACACTCAGGTAATATTAAAGCTCCCTCTGCTGGCCATCCTACATAATGACACATTTTAACATGAACACACCTGTATATGAATATATCTGGGATAGTTTCAGAGCAGTTACCTGTTGCCGTGGTAACGGTGTCTGATTGGTTAGTGTCCAGGCTGTCATTGGTTAAATCCTCACCGGCCGAGTCCTTCACTGAACCACACACCTGTCAATCAAACACAAAGCGTAAAAAACAAAACCAGCAGAGTGAAGTCACACGTATTAGTAACTGCATATCCCATGATGCTCTCACCGGGAAAGGCTCCGCCCCTTCTTGGATAACAAAGCCTTCTATGAGGTGTGTGAGGACATTCGGTTTGACCACAGCTTGTGGGGGAGGGGCTCTCTCCCCCTGGCCGCAGACCCCGCGGGACACTGACAGCACCGTGGAGGGGGAGGAGGAGACGGGGGGCGGAGCTTCAGAGCCTGGGGGAGGAAAGAGCGGAGCACTTGTGTCACATTACTCAGAGAAGGTGATATTTTTTTTAAGGTTTTATAGCTTCTGTGTCGTTACCTGCTTCGACAGGATTGGTTGAGAGTGATGAGGGGTGGTCTCTGACTGGCTGGAGCCGCAGGGGGGAGGGACCATCTTCGTCATTGGCTGAATTGGAGTCTGATTTTCTTTTTAGTGAGCCACTTACCTGCTTCCCCTAAAAAAGTGAGACAGAATTTAAAAAATATATAAAGGTAAATAAAGAAGTGACATATTTTGCACGTTTGTCCTGGATGATCAAAATGTCTAAAACAGGGGAATAAAACTTTAAATAAAAACTGACCTGTGCTGTCAAACTTCTCGATGAGTCGCCGTTTGTCATCACGGCAGCTGGCGCCCCTCTCTGCTCCTCCGCCACCAGGGGGAGTGAGAGGGACGAGCGAGACAGGGAGGAGGGAGGACAGGAAACGGCAGGCGACTGGGAGGAGGCGGGGCCTGATGTCATGGCTCCGTTCTGACTCTGTCCAGAGCTCTGATTGGCCTGCGGATGAACCTGAGACACCTGAGCCAGCGGGGGAGCCTCCTGCGGGGACTGGAGCGTCTTCAGCCCCGCCCCTCGGCCCACGACTCCGCCCTCCCTGGAGGCGATGGAGGCCACCATCGTGAGGAGGCCGGAGGAGCCGCTGAGGGCGGCGGCGGCTCCGTCCTGGCTGCAGCTGCCTCGCGCCAGAGCCAGAGCCTGCGCGTTCCCCAGCGTGCTTTGCCTCGCCCCGACGATCTGGACGGGGATGTGCGGCGGCTGCAGGGGCTGGGCGGAGCTGCTGTTGGGAGGCGGGGCGGGCAGGATGGGAGGGGGGTTTCTAGAGGGCAGCTGGAGAGGCAGACGAAGCCCCTGCAGAGTTTTGGGTTGGATGGGGACGGGGCCGTTGCCGTGGCCCGACTTCTCAGAGCCGAGCGAGGACTTCTGCAGCGGCTGCACCACCAGCGTCTGAGCGTTCACCGCAGGTTTAATGGTCGCGGTGCCCACGGGATAACCGTGAGAGTGGGACCCCGCGGAGGACGTGAGGACCAGTGTGTGAGACGCTGTGGGAGCTGTGGTTCCTGTAGTGAGGGTCCGGGTCCCGTGGAGGAGGAGCTGAGAGAGAGGGATGGAGGAGGTGGAGGAGGAGGAGGAGGAAGAAGAGGAAGAGGAGGAGGAGGGGTGGGCTTTGAGGTTGGTGGGCTGAGGGTAGGTGGGGATTTTGATGTGGGGCGGCTGGGGGTGAGGCTGGCTTGGTTTGTTGGGGGACTGGGAGTTTGACTGGTGGGAGGGCTGGACGAGAGAGTAAGCAGCTGGAAAGAGACGGAGAAAGATTTATCAGAAGAAAACCTGCAGAATTTAACTTCTGTCCAATGGAGAACAAGACATGTAGATTTTAAGTTTTCTCCTTACCTGAGTCACTCCTGTCCGGCGCTTCAGTCTTCACACCGACGCCTTTTGGACCGGACACACCTCGCATCGCTAGATTCTGCACCTGGACAAATCAAAGGAAGTTTAAAAGTGTGAAAAAGAATCACTGAGACTGAACAGAGAAGACAACAACACCACAAACCTGGTCGTTATCCGATTGGCTGCCGGATGAAGAAGCTGGGGTCACTTCCTGTTGCTGAGCCTGCTGGGGCTGCTGGGTGACGGTTGCCACGGCAGCCGTTGCCGTGCTGCCAGGCATGAAGATGAGCTGTGAAGAGATGGGCGCCCTGAGGGAGCGGTTGACCTGCAGGACGACGAAGTCAGCCATCAAGACACAGAAACAGGAGGAACACTAAATACTGAAAGAGTCTATAAAAACCAGTTTAAACTCACCCTCAGGTACATCTGTCCCTGCCCGGCTGCCGTCCCACTGAGCAGCACTGATTGGCTGATTGTGGACGTTGCCGAGGCGCCCATAGGACGGCTGCTGGTTGTAGATCCAGACGTCACGCTGGCCTGAAAAACGAGCAAAAAGAAACTTAATGATTCCACTCCTCTCATCGTCTCATGATTTCTGGTCTGAAACATTTGACTCGTATTCTGAAGCCTATGAAAAACGTTTTCAGCCGGATGCTGGACTTAACAGTTAACTGAAGGTTTCCTCTCAGCCCTGCAGAGTTCCTGAGCGCTGAATGAGACTCATTCTGACACACTGGAAGTCTTCTCTGATATGATGTCAGCCATACAAACAGAAAAAACTCGGTTCCTGAGGAGCAGTTTGATGAGGAGCAGTTTGATGGCCATCTTGGACCCGTTTCTCACCAGCGGCTGAAGGTTGACGTAGGATAAAAACTCATCCTGCCGCCCCCCCTCAGACCTCCTCTTGGAGACTTAACACATACATACACATGCAGGTGAACTGTGTGACTGGAAATTACATTAAGCTCAATTTACTGTTTAAGTCTGTTTTCTATGTACATGTCTGAGCCGTGTGTTTGGATGTCTCTTCTTTTTTATTTGTAGTTTTTTTTTTCATTTTCATGCATATTACAAGCAACACAACAACAACAAGAAACCTAATTACATCTCTTACCTCCAGCAAGTATTTTTACATTCAGTTGACAAGCCTGAATAAATGTTGTATTTCATTTTTCTTTTTTTTTTTAACCAGTAGGAATGTTAAGTTAAATCCTTGATGTATAAATCTCTTCTTATTCTTATTTTTTATATTCTAAGTGCTTATTCATGTATCTGTTCTTATATTGTTTTATTTGATAACCTGCTGCTGTAACACCACATTTTCCCAGTTTGGGATCAATAAAGTCATTCTATTCTATTCTATTCTATAATGTATAATTTATGTTTTTAATGAATGCATGACTTTTAAAGGTAGATGAGAGGGAGAGACGATGATACGGTGAGAGCTCATGGTGCATGCTGGGAACATGTGGCGGTGAGAGTACATACAGCTGTGGAGCTGGTGGTCTGAGAGGAGCTGCTGCTGGAAGGACTGGACTGACGACTGGCGGCCAGAGTAGCCTGAGAGGTCAAAGAGACGAGAGAGAAACGGGGCTTAGATCTCAGATCAGAACTCATGAACTGACTGAACGCTTCACTGTTTACACCCAGCAGGAGGCAGCATTGTTCTCCTGACTCTTACCCTAAGGGGACGGGTCCTCAGTGCTGCCCACAACACATTGAGTGTTTACAAGACCAAATAAATGTGGGTAAATGCTTCCCAGACCCCCTCTGCATGTCGGATCACTATCTGTCAGGACGATTAGCGGGGCGTTCACACCTAGCATTAATGCTATCCTCTGATTGTCAGATCAGGCAGGATGGAAGTGAGATTTTGCAACACTTTACTCATGAAGAAACAAGAAATTTGAACTTGTTCAGCTCACAGAATAAACCACTTTGACCGTTAACACACAGGGAATGTTGACTTTTGTATTTATTATTGCTTTGTGCAGAAGATCTGATCTTTATTTACTGGGATGTTGCTCTCTCATTGTGTTAGTTAACGTCTGATTTATTATATAAAGGGTTAAAAAAGATGGACTGATACACGCTCAGCCTTATAAACATCCACCCACCTTTACCTGTTGCACCGCAGCCAGGTTCTGCAGCTGGGCGTTGTTGATCTGCTGCTGCAGCATCAGCTGCTGGAAGTACTGAGCGGCGTTGGGCTGCCTCTGTAACGCCTGCAGGGCCTGGAGTGAGGAGACGAGGAGACGAGGAGAGGAAGGAAATAAATCAACGGGCAGTTAGGCAAATGGAGAAAGAGAGGAGAGAGACGTAGTAAAAAAAAAGACGAGAGAGAGAGAGAGAGGAAGGATAAGGACAGAATCAAGAGGAGGAGAGGAGAGAGGAGGTGAGGAGAGGAGAGGAAGGATAAGGACAGAATCAAGAGGAGGAGAGGAGAGAGGAGGTGAGGAGAGGAGAGGAAGGATAAGGACAGAATCAAGAGGAGGGGAGAGAGGAGGTGAGGAGAGGAGAGGAGAAAGGAGGTGAGGATAGGAGAGGAGGTGAGGTGAGGAGAGGAGAGGAGAGGGGAGGAGAGTGAAGAGAAGGAGTGAAGAGAAGGAGAGGAGAGGAGAGGATAAGGACATAATCAAGAGGAGGAGAGGAGAGAGGAGGTGAGGTGAGGTGAGGAGAGGAGAGGAAAGGAGAGAGGGGAGGAGAGGAGAGGATAAGGACAGAATCAAGAGGAGGAGAGGAGAGAGGAGGTGAGGTGAGGTGAGGTGAGGTGAGGAGAGGAGAGGAAAGGAGAGGGAGAATATGGCGGCAATAAGAGGAGGGAAGGAAATGTTGGGAAGGAAGAAGAGTGCGGTGAAAAATGAGAGAAGGAAGAAGTGGAGTAAGAGAAATGAGGGCAGAGGGTGTGAGCTGCTTGATGTACGAGCAGAGGCTGCTACTGTAATAAGTTGAGGGATGAAAGCGAGCGTGGCGGGCTGGATTAGTGTGTTCACGGTGACAGAGACAGATGGCGGTGCAGGGTAACAGAAGCCTGGCAACATTACACACAGACTCCATCAACCGAGCCCGACTCTATCCCTCCTCCTCCTCCTTCACCTCCGTCTCTCACTCACTCAGAGAGATCAACGAGAGCGTCCTCCGACTTTTACACAAACAGGATTTGTTCACAGCTCAATAAAACAACACAAACACTGCTCTTCATCATGTGAACGCAGAAGTTTTCAGACTAATTCAAGATGAAGACGAGAAGACTTCACATCAATCGTATCTTTACTGCAGGCGGCATCGAGCCCGAAACCTGCAGAGCTCAAAGTTCATCATCGTACATCTTTAACAGATTATTGCTTTAGTAAATAAAAGGCTGTGTAGGAACAGACGTATTAATCTGATGTCATCAAATCCCATTTTGGTAGGGGTGTCACGCAATTCATTTTTAATCGCAATTAATCAAATTAATTTTCATAGTAAGAAGCGATTAATCGCATTTTAATGGCCTGTTTGAAATTCTATTATTTAGCATTTTAAAACAGTTTTTGTTGGGCTTTTATTTTGAATTTCTGTACTGCCATAAACTGAGGGCGCTTCACTTCCTGTATGAATACAAACCTGTTTTTTTCTTGAAAGAAAGTCAAATGAATGAATGATTAGCCCCCAAAAAAACAAATAGATTTCTTAAAGTTATGAATCTATTCAAAATCTCAGAAGATAAGAAAGATGAATGACTATCTACGGGGAGCCTAAAGGGACAAATTAACATGAGGTTAACGTGGTTTAAAAACAGATGAAAGCATTAGCATCAAAATAAAAGTATTGATGCTGACAGCCCGAGTACATGAAGGACTTAAGGACAAGTCTGGAGGGACTAGAGTTAGGAAGGGGGGGGTCACCGGGTCAGTCCCCGGTGCAGACCACATCACACACACACACACACACACACACACGCTTACCTGCACGGCTTGTCGTTCATACAGAGACATGGAATTCATGGGAGAGGGGCGGGAGCTAGCCCCAGATGCAGCACTCCCATTGGTCGAGGCCCCCTGCTGGTTCTGCTCTCCGTCCGTCTCCATGGCGTCTGAGGGGACAGAGGAGGCGTCCATCAGAGAGACTCTCTCTCTCTCTCTCTCTCTCTCTCTCTCTCTCTCTCTCTCTCTCTCTCTCTCTCTCTCTCTCTCTCTCTCTCTCTCTCTCTGATATTCTCCTCTTCCTTCAAAGACATCACAACCGTCCAAAGTTCTCTCAAAGACTTTTCTAAAGCCTGATACTGAAGCAGTTACTCTGGGCTGGGTTTAAATTCTGGATTAGGGCTGCACCATGGTCCTGTGGTTAGTGCTGTCACCTCACAGTAAGGAGGGTCCTGCTTCAAAACCCCCTTTTTGGTCTTTCTGGCCCGTGCATGCGTTGGTTCCCTCCCCGTACTCCGGCTTAGGTTAACTGGTGACTCTAACTTAGTCGCCCAAAGTGTGAGTGTGATCTTAGTGAAGACCACACTGACCGAGACCAGGACCAAGACCCCGTCTCTCACCCAATGTCAGCTGGGATCGACTCAAGCCCCCCCAGGGACCCCCAACATGTACCCCAACAGCAGAGTCAGCACCGGCCTCAAGTTCAAACTTATTTAAAATCAATTTACATTTATTTTTTATTATAATTATGAATAATTATTATGCATTTGAGTCTTAAAAAAAGCAGACTTCCTGCATCGTCCTGTCTTCATCTTTTAGACACTCAGAGATTTTTTTTTAATTGCAAAAAACATTTTATTTTGTTTATTTTATTTTTATTTGTTGTTATTGAACATCTTCTGTGTTACACTCTGACATGTTGGTGATGTTTAAATGACAGACCTGCAATATCTTTATTACCACTCTCATCCTCCTCCTCCTACACACACACACACACACACACACACACACACACACACACACACACACACACACACACACACACACACACACACACACACACACACACACACACACACACACACACACACACACACACACACACACACACACACACACACACACACACACACACACTCCTGTCCCAGCACTCTGTAATTTCCTCTCCTCACATTAACAAACACAGAGCTAATGTTAGCCGAGCTAGCCTCCATGTTTCAGACCTCCATGTTTGAATGCTGCACCGGAGGCTACTCCTCCTAGCATCCCGCTAACCCGCTGCTGCTGTCTGGCTCGTTAACGGGGCTCTCCGGCTCCGTGCTTACCGTCCCCCCCGGTCCGGGTTTCTCCTCCTGCTCCTGCCCGGGCTGACCCGCTGCTGATCGGCTGTGCGCGGCTCGCCGGCCCCGGAGCCCGGAGCTGCTGGTTGGAGGAGCTGTTCTGTGTTTCTTTGCAGGATGATCCGCAGCTGCAGCTTCACTGCTTTTACTGTTTTGCATAAATTTGCAGCTGATGTGTTGTTGGAGGGCAACGCCTCCTTTTTTCCTGCGCTGCCTTTTCCGGCGCGACGGGATGACGGAGCATCAGGAGGAAGGGGGGGGGGAGAGAGGGGGAGGGGGGGACACTACACCCCGGTCTGTGTCAGGTATGATGTGTGGAGGCTATCCTCAAAACTCTGTCAATCTATCAGGAATGTTTTCGAATACATCACCTTGTTACCTCTCACACAGGGGCGTCTCCAGGACTTCTGGGCCCCCATGATCAGATCTCACATGGGGCCCCTCCACCTCACCTCTCTCTGAATTCAGGTGATGTCAGACACATCAGGAAAAAAAACAGTCTCTGAGGTGGAAAATGCACATGAACACCTGCTCAAGACAAATCAGGGAAAGAATTTGGTGGCCAACTCGGCCATCACACATTCTGCGATGTGAACTCACAGACTGGGACACCAATATCACGCCGTCGCAGAATCAATATGAATGTACAAAGACGTGATGACGGCTGAGCTTAGTTACTACACGTCTGCAATCTGAGAGGAGAGCGAGAGGATCTGATGTTTACACGAGGACGACGGAGACGGTTTTCAAAAGTTTGCGATCCGGAACCTGTTTTTCAAAATGTTGAATTTCCAGGCACCCGAGACGCAAAATGCACAAAAATATGTGAAAGTTTTCCAGATGAAATCGTTGCCATGGAGACAGGGCCCAACTCTTGTCACATGCATGCAGCATGAGGAGGCTCCAGCTTTGTGTTGTAACAATATGAACACAGAGATATGTTGATTTTGTTGTTGATTAATATTTTATTCAACATTATATCTGGAATATTTACAGAATACAAACACAGGTGAAACAGAAAAACACACTGGGGGGGGGGGGGGTGCATCATCACTGATAGCCCCCACAAAGCCCACGACATCATCTGCACGCTTCAACATCACAGCGATCTGACACCCAGCCCAAACAACCAATCAGAAAGAAGCAAGTCTAAGATGTTAAATGTAGCGCTCCAGAACGACTCGGCTCCTGGTGGAGTCACCTTTAAATCAGAGCGACGAGTCTTTACTGAAACAGAACACACACACACATGTGAATAACAGTCTGTGACAGAGTGAGGTGCAGAGAGAGGCACAGATAGCAAACTTACAGTACAAGTGATAATCCAACAAAGAGCACAGTCAGCACATTTTATTTACACAGGAATGACACTAAACGAGATTAAAAACAAACACAAACGAACATCACAGCAGCTGAAGCATGTTGACGTTACATTTGTCTTCCAGTGGAGTTTAAATCTGAGACACTGTGTGATTTATCAAACATGTAGTTTGGAGGTTAGCCGAGATTTTCAACACCACCGTCTCCACAGCTGAGTGTGCAGTTTGAGCAGACACACACGTCTGAGAGCTAAATCTAAATCTCTTCAAAGAGCCGCCTGAAATCATCTGAAGATCGTGACTATCCTCCACAAAATGAGTTCATAACAAACACCCCAAAAAGAAAAAAAGAAACTTCACACACGTACAGGATGATCGTGCAAGCCCACATATAAATATCTTGTAAAAAACACATATTTACACGAGTACTCTCCTTTCTTTGTACAGTGAGTGGAGGTGTTTCAGTTGTGCATATAAAGCGGGGGGGGGGGGGGACATTGGTTAGGAGTCTGAATATTAGTTTGAAATCCTTCCACATACTCTTGATCAACGTTTAGATTTATTAAAGGAGTGCAGTCACAACAAACGAGCTAGCATCAACTCGAGAGCATTTCCTGGTTTTGTTTAGTTTGAACCACTAGGGGGAGACCAAAGACTGAGTACGCCTCCTGGTTTTTACTGGGGTGGCTGAAGCTCAGTCTGTAGGGACTTTGGGGTTGGCAAAGTCCAGAAATTGGTCTGGTAGCTGGAGAGGTGCTAGTCCACTTCCTGAGCACTGCCGAGGTGCCCTTGAGCAAGGCAGCGAACCCCAAAAAAACTGCTCTGGAGCCCTCGCTGAGACCACTCCATCCTGTGTGTGTGTGTGTGTGTGTGTGTGTGTGTGTATTTCGGCCTATGAGTGTAAAACCAGACTTCCCCTCGCAGGATTAATAAATTATAACTGATAATTAAAGTGAATCCAGCTCCAACCTGCATTCTGACTAATGGCCAGCAGGGGGCGGCTCTACATGATGCGTAAAGACACCAGATGGGGGAACAATCTGAGCTGGATGTATGACCTCACAGGTCATTTAACAGCTGATGTTTTTCATCTAAAACTTTCATTTGAAGTCTTCTGTGTTTCAGAATGAAGTTCATGATGTGACTTCTGTTTTTGTATCGGCTCAGATGATCGTTTTGTTTTCTTCCAGCGGGCTAGCTGTGATCGTCAGCATGCGGCTGAGACTTCAGGTTTGGTCGTCAGCATGTGGTTCTGTTGATTTTTACAGTGCAATGGCGATTCTAGAGTCTGTTGGGGCCCTAGTTAAAAATGAATGAAGGGGCCCTTCAAACCAGCGCTCATTTCCTCTCCTACGGACGGAGCTCTTCATTTTAATTTGTTGACTTTCATTGACAAACTTTTGGTTTTCAACGCTTAGCAGGGCAACGAGAGTGAGTGCTGTCAGATGGGGCCCCCTTTAGGGAGGTTTCCTACTGTCATTGCAGAATTTGCACATTTTGGGCGGCTGCTGTAGTTTAAAGTTTAATTTTTAAAGTTTTTCTACATGAGCAGCGTGAATCAGAGGAAACGAGAAGTTGCAGGTGTGATCGCACTCGGGCTTCAGCGACAGAGCTGTGCACTGAACTTGGCTTTTATTTTGAAAGGCCAAAAGAGAAGCCGCTTAGTTAAGAGTCATTTTTAGGCTTTCCTTCAATGCTTTTTAAATTGAAATCTTAAATGTTCCCATTTCATGTCCTCACTTTAGCCGCTCAGAAAAGTGTGCGGAGGTCATTTCAAATCACAAAGTGAAAGCTGGAGTGGGCGAGCGGAGTACGAGGAAGCATTTTAAAACTCATATTCTCAGACTCCGGTTTGGTCGGGTTCAGTGTTAGTGCAGAGTTAGTGAGGGAGCGGTGTGTAGGAGTCATCACAGGAGCCTGCAGGAGAGCATGAACACAACACTGAACACTTTACCATGAAAGGCGCGCGCACACACACACACACACACACACACACACACACACACACACACACACACACACACACACACTGGGCCAGTCAGTTCAAACACAGCACGACACTATCATCCACAAACACAGCGATACACAACAAAGCTGTGACTCCGACCTCAACCTTTCCTCACCACTGTAAGAAATACTCGTCTGAACGAGCTGAATTTTCTCAAACAAAAATCAAAAAAGGAAAATAAACATTGCAGGAATCTTAGTTTGAACATTTCATTCGAGCTTCTTCACAAGAGAAACGATGTTCCAGTGTACAGAAATAAATCAAAAAGAAATCGAGAGGACGTTAAAGTGCAGCATGAATCACTGCGCTTCTTTTACAGGAATTCATGCAGTCAATACAGAAAATATACTTTGAGTCACACACTGAAGCATCCAACAACATGGTGTCGAGTGACTGTTATACAAACAGTGTGTACGAGTGGACGATGCTACACGAGGCTACACTTTCACACAGAGCGACACAACATGGCGACGTTTAGACCTGACGGATAAAAGCAGAAACACTAGCTTAGCTAACATAGCCGTCAGACAAACGTTATGTCCTAAATCACACACTCGTCCCCCACTCCAAAGACATCAGCGCTCTAGAGTCTCAGTTTCTGTGTTTGTGAAGATAAACAATAACAACACTTCAAGTCGGACGAGTTCTTGCTCTGAATCACAATCAGCTGGTTTCTCTTTTCTTGTTTACCCGTCGTCGTTCACTCTATTAGCACTTCCCCTTTAGTCGCCTTCTCTTCAGGTTTCTTTCAATTGATTGCACATTTTTGATTAATCTCATCTACTCTAATGACAGCGAGGCCGCGTGCACACGATGGGCCGGGGGGGAAATCTTGATTTTAAACTTTTTAATCTGATAGTTGGACATAAAGCGCTGCTGTGCTGAAACGCCCCCTCATCGTGATTGGCCCGTCATCAATTTACCTGGTGAACAAAGAGCGTCTGAATAGAGAGATTAATACTAAAGTCAGCTCAGGGGTCAGGGGTCAGGGTTGACCCCTGACCCTAACCCGGGGAGATCGCCGCAGACTCCAGAGTATATTATAAATCTGAGGCTGGGCTGGAAAGCGTTACGATTCTTAATTCCCTTTAATGTCATAGAGTTATTTACTTTATACAAAAATCAACTTCTACAATAAATACTCTGAGATTTCTCTTTAACAAAATAATATACATTGCACGTTACCCTAAAGTATTCCTCCACGCGTGTTACGTAATTTAGTCGACGTGTTTTTGGGCAGCAGGTCATTTCAGATTCTGCAAACGTTTCCAAACACAGAGACGCTCACAGACGCGCAGAAAGAACATGTTTTAGATCTAATTTTAAAAAGGAGAAGACGAGGCTTTGAAGCTAACGATAAGCTAGCTTAGCTAACATAGCCGTCAGCCGTTATATTAGAATTAAAAATAAACCACTTAAAAGTTCATGAATGTTTTTTTTCTGACTGAATTCTCTCATAATCAGTTAAAAGAGAGAATCTGGTTCTCCCGTAAAAATAACCCTGTGCAGGTCGCAGTCCCTCAGCGCCACTATAAACCTGCAGCGTATTTGAAACAGAGCCTAGCTAACCCTAGCTGCTGCTACAGCGTAGTGCACGGCGCTAATGGACCGCGGCGTGCACAGAGTATGTAGATATTGGGGGGTCAATAACAGCTCGACTCATCTTGTGGATTACAGCTTTAACCACCTCAACACGTCGATCCTGCTGCCCAGTCCCACCCTGATTTAAACCACCAAAAGTGACGTTTCAGGCTAACACGTTTGAGGCTAACACGCTTGAGGCTAACACGTGTCCACCGGGTGGAAATCAAAGTCGGATACTTTGGCATTTAAAAACAAAAACAAAAGCTTGAATCACCCGCTGAGGGCTGAGTGTTCCCTTCTTCTACCTGTGATCAGAGACCGCTTCAAAAACAGTGAATAAGTAAATATCACAAAGTGAAAACTACGTCTACAAAGCTATATCGCACTAAAATATCCACGACTACAGGGAACACGGAATTAAAAAAAGAACTCAAAAGTGACTTGAACACATCTGGAAACAGCTGTTTCACCTGCACAAAGGCGACACATTGCAGTGATGAACCTTGACCTTTAACGGACGCCTGTCGGTTAGCTTATCTCAGAGGAATGTGGAGTTTATCTACGCTGTGGTTTTTGTAGTGAGCCGCTTCCCTTTCATGGTTTAGGAAGGGAAAAGGAAAGTTTTGTAGGAAACGTCTAAGGAGTTATCGCAGAAAGAAGCACGACCTTTAGAGGTCAGAGCCTATCGCCTAGGTAACGCTGTAGATCTGGTCTATTATAAAAGTTTCTACTGTTCCAAGGTGTGATAGTTGACTACAGTGTACACCATCGAGCTGCTCTACAGACTCTCCTGCACCGCCGAGTGTGATTTATCATCGAGCGGCGTGCGCTCAGCTGCCGCAGGAGGCGGAGCAGCCACCGGCGCCTCCACCAGCGGCACCTTCTCCTTCACCGGGGAGGCGGGGAGCGTCATGGCGGTGCTGGCGCTGGCAGGGGGGTCCTCCACAGACGAGGAGGAGGGAGGCGGGGCGCTGCCGAAGCACTGGGCGATCTCGTCGAAGGTCTTGCCCTTGGTCTCGGGGACTTTGATGAAGGTGAAGATGAAAAAGAGGATGAGGAAGGCGGTGAAGATGAGGAAGACCCAGGGACCGCACAGTTCCTGAGGAGAGAGAGGAAGAGGAGTCAGATCTCATGTCTCCATCTTGGACTTTATAAAACCTGGGTGTAGTCTCTCGCTCCTCACCACTAGTTTGGGGAAGCTCATTCCAACCAGGAAGTTGGCCGTCCAGTTGCAGCAGCCGGCCACGGCCATGGCGGCCGGGCGGGGCCCCTGGGAGAACAGCTCGGCCACGATGAACCACGGGATGGGACCGGGACCGAGTTCAAACATGGCCACAAACAACATGACCGCCACGATGGCAAAGTAGCTCATGATGGAGTAGTCCTTCTGCTCAGAGGAAAAAAGGCGGGAAAAAAGAGAGAGAGAACATGACAATAAAAATGTTCACAGCATGACCTTGTTGAGATTATTTCATGGCTTTTTTAAAACCTCTCACTGGAGGAACTAGCACCACCCTGTGGACAAGAGACATAACTGCAATGTAGTAATGAAGACATGTTGATACTCTGCTCTGTGAATAAGAGGCTGGACAGTATAAAAAGGTGTTTAGTCTCTAACTTCTGACCACAGTCTGTAAATATTAATGTTTGAAGCCTGAGTGACGTCCCCGTTTGTCCCTGCAGGGGGCGCTGGAGTCCCATCGATGGCGGTCTCCGTGCTGGAAATGCTGTCTCAGTCTAACTTTCAGTCAACCTAACTTGAGGCTGAGAGCTGGAGCTGAGGCGGGTTTTAAACCTCCTGACAAACCGTTACACCGCGCCCACCTGTCAATCAGGTCAGCTACACGCCTTATTGTGAATAACTCTTATCCTTCATCAAATCAAAACTGATGAGTCATCAAAACATTCACCCCCCCGTACAGTGTGTGTCCATCCAGACATGAGCTAATCACACCTATTTGGTTTTTTGAACCAGGCTGTAAACATGTTCATCTCTGCTGTAAAAACAGGCTTTTTAGAATGGGTGTGTATGTGACTTCCTGTGCTTCTGCAGCCAGCCTCTAGTGGACACTCCAGGAACTGCACTTCAGCATTTTTCAACACTGGAGGTTACTGCTTGGTTCAGAATTCTCTGTGTTTTCTCAGCACTCCTACCAGAGGCAATTTCCCTCTCGGGTCAAATAAAGAAGTTTATCTTATCTAATCTACTTAAGAAGTTTTATTTTGTAAAGTTTGATGATGTTTTATTTATGCATAGAACTACAGGATGTCTACTTTCTTATGATGCGTTGAACCACACTCTCTGGGTTTTATCATATTGGTAATAAAAGGTTTTTAAGTTATTTCTCTTCCTTTAAGTCTTTCAGCCTTTCCACCGCCTGCCCCTCCTCCACCCTGTGACATCACTAAACTCACCAGCAGGAGGGAGATGGTCATGAGGAGAGCGCTGACCGCCATCCCGCCCAATCCCAGCAGGTGCAGAGTCCTCCGTCCCGCCTTCTCCACCAGGAAGAGCTGCAGGACAGACACAGAGAGGGAGGGAGTGAAGATCTGCTGCTCACACACACACACACACACACACACACACACACACACACACACACACACACACACACACACACACACAGTTTAAAAACAGAATGTCATGCACTCACAGAGACGACCGTGAAGAGGACGTTGACGATGCCGGCTCCGATGGTGGCGTAGATCGGCTGTTTCACCCCCGCAGACGTGAAGATGCCGGTGGAGTAGTAGAACACCTGGAGGGAAAACCATTTCAATATTACAGAATTACATCATTAAAAAGTTTCCTTTTGCCTTTATTTGATTGGACAGAGCAGGAAATCAAGAGGGGGGGGGGGGGGGGGTCATGGGGGTAATCGCGGCGTGTTGCTGACTCACAGCGTTGATCCCTGACAGCTGCTGGGAGAGCTGCAGCATGACGGCGATGAGCAGGGGCTGTCGGTACGCCGCCGAGCGGAACAGCTCGGGGATGGTCACCTTCTTCTCCATGGCCATCTTGGCGCTCTCCTCCTTCATCTCCTGAAGGTCTTTACTCACGTCCTCACTGCCGCGCAGACGCACCAACGCTGCACGCCGCATAGAAACAAAGAAGAGGATTTGTCTTTTTTAAAATGTGTCACACAAACATTCAGGGAGAGGAGAGTGATGCTAAAGGTGAAACTATTTCAATACAAGCCCGTTTAGAGGAACCTTTTAGCTCCTGCTTCAGAGTCGGTCAGTTTTTATTATTAATTCATTTTATTTATTTATTTATTTTTTAATAATAAAAATATGATAAAACATTCAGTACATACAGGAGACAGGACAACAATTACAATATGTATAAAATAAATACACTCGTAAAAAACGTAAACATAAATATGTAAATCATTAACTAGAGGTCTCAGAGGGTGTTATAATAGTTCATGAATTTGATGCATTTTTTGTCATTGATTAAAAGAAGTGATTTAAGAAGGGAGTTGAATCCTAAATGAAAAATTGAAAACTTTGGAAGTGACTTTGAGAATTTCTGTTTGTGAATGAAAAACTTTCATATAGTATAATGAAGTTTATGACATTTTTGAGAGCAATATTTTCCTCATTGTCATAGTAACAAACAACGACTTTGAGGTCAAGAGAATAAACACAATCAGCAGCCGGAAAAAAAAAGAGATTCAATGTCTTTCCAGAATCTTTTGGATAGTTCACATTAAAAAAAAAAAAAAAAAAACGGTGGGAAATTGTTTCTGTATCGTTTTTGTGCACTCAGCCTCAATATCTGTAAAGTTAGCAATGAGGCAGTTAACAGGATACATTAGGTAGTATTTTGAAGTGTACCCTCTTTAGCTTTGTTGTTTGAGTTGGTACTCTCCCCGCACAGGAGGGACTCTGAGTGACGTCAGTGAGCTGTGATTGGTCGGACACAAGAGCCAATCCAGAACCACCAACCGTAATTTTTAACGTCCCGTTTAGGTTTAGTTAAACGATTACTCTAAAGTAAAACAGGAGGCAGAGCAGTTTCTCCTCAGAGTGAGTCCTGACCCCGTGTGTTTGTTTGTTTGTTTGTGTGTTTGTTTGTTTGTTTGTGTTGGATGAAAGGTGTGAAGGAGAAACAGGTCAGGGCCTGGGAGTCGACAGATGTCAAAACCTTCTGCTTTTTCAAGGACTCTTCTCTCTGCGGGCTAAAATATCATCCACCTGATCTGACCCTGAGGATCTGTTTCTTCTGGTTTCTCTCCCGGACGTTCATCCTGACTTTGATCTGTGCTCTTCATCACAGCTCATATCTACTCTTCTTCTGCTTCTCGTTCCCTAAAAAACATTTCTCTTCTCTTTGACGTTAACAGGATTTGAAACATGTTTCACATTCTGCTTCTTTCCTAGAACACCCTCACACTAGTAAAAAAAAGATCTTGTTTAGAGCTTAGCTTAGTTTATCACAGGCAGAATCTGTATTCTCTCTAATGTCCAGCAGGGGGCGACATGAAGAAGTCAAAGCCCCCTTTTTTGGGGTTTTGGGAACTTCTCTTCCAGGAACTAAATGCTTCCTGAGGCCCCGTTGTTGTCAGCATTTCAACCGGGGCCTGAATTTCACCGTAGAGATTACGCAAATCACGACGTACACTGCCTGTCCAGTAGGGGGCGCTAAGAAGTCGAAGGCCATACAACATGGCGGACAGGCCAGCTTCATGATTTGTGTGACACTCATTTTGTGAAAAGTTGTTTTTGGAGATGTCGTCATGTTTTCTTAAATGTTGTTTTGTTTTTGTAAAGTGTTGCGTTCAGGGTCTCCGTCTGACTGCGTACCTTTGCGCGCCTGCTCCTCCTGTTTCAGGTTGATGAGCAGGAAGCGCGGGCTCTCGGGACAGAAGGGCAGCAGGATGCACTGCAGCACGGCGGGGACCACGGTGAGGGCCAGCAGCAGGGGCCACAGCTTCTCAGAGCCCAGCAGAAACTCCAGACCGAAGATCTAAAAACAGCCAATGACAGAACAGAACAGCGCGGTCACATTGATGCTCCCTCGCTATCTGTACTGAGACGCTCATTAGAAGCCCCCGTCATGCTGACCTGAGCGATCAGGATGCCGACCACCACCCCGAGCTGGTGAAGAGTACCGAAGGCTCCTCTGAGGGGAGTGGGTGACACCTCGCCCACGTACATGGGGGTCAAACCGGTGAAGAGGCCGCAGAACAGGCCGATGACCAGGCGACCGGCGATCACCATCTCATAGGAGGAGCAGATGGTGGCGAGGCCCATGAGGACGCCGCCGATCACGGCCAGACTGTTCACCAGGAACATGGAGCGACGTCTGATGAAGAGGAGGAGGAGGAGGGTTCAGAAAGAGAGCGTTAGCTGCAAACAGCTGATTAGACACAAAGTGATGCTGACATTTAAAAATATATATAAATAATGAGATCAGCTGTTACACTGAAAAAAAAGAAGTGATCAAAAAATCTACTTAAAGGAGCAGTATGTAACTCTAACCCCTAGTGTTTAAAATGGGTACTGCAGTCTAAATTCTAAACATCGTAGAGAGCTGTCTCCCCCCCTCCTCTCTAGAGTGGCTGCTCACTCAGGTCACCATGTGGTGGACTCTGAAGCTTCAGTGTTTATCCAGCTCTGCATGGGTCTGTAAACCTTTCTGTGTTCTAACCTCTCTCCATTTTTCAAAAGCATCTCCAGTATTGATCGGATTGAACGGATTATCGGTGTCCCACTCCCCTCTCTTCTGGACCTCTACAGTACCCGCCTCACCCGCAAAGCAACCAGCATTGTGCGTGACCCCACCCACCCCTCACACAGCCTCTTCAGCCTCCTGCCATCGGGGAGACGGTACCGCAGCCTGCGGGCCGGCTCCACCAGACTGGGAAACAGCTTCTTCCACCAAGCTGTCAGGAAGCTTAACTCTCTCCCCTCTCTTCCTTCCCTCCCCTCTGCCCCCACGAACACTGGACGTTGAAACCCCCTCCCGTTTTCCATCAAGAACTCTGGACTAAAAACTCTGTACACTCAGTTTACAGCACATTGCACATACTGCACAAGTTCACTTTTTCTTTACATTTTATTGTATTTTACTCACTACCTTTTGCACAATTTAGAATTTATTACAGTAAATATTATTTATCTTATTTTTACCTCATTTTATTTATCTATTTTTACCTTATTTTGGTCGTATTGCACCGCGGGACGGAGACAAACAAAATTTCGATTCCACTCTATGTCTGGCATATTTTGAAATTGACAATAAAGTTGACTTTGACTTTGATCCTAGTTTGAACACGTTTCTGCTCGTGGAGCTTATTAGAAACATGCAGAGGCTTTTTAGGTCGGGTACAATCACTTCTATCTGAACCACTTCTCTTGACCGCTTCCATCACTGCAACACCTGTTGACCTGATAACTGCTCTTATATCTGACAAACCGAGGGGCGTCCAAAACGGCCGTGTGGGGGCGTGTCTTAAAAGCGCCTACCTTCTCTGGTCCAAACAAATCCAGAGCATTCAGGAGCAGAATCTAAAGTTAGAAGGAGGACATACTGGCTGCTGCATTGTTGTCAGAGAAGCCAGCACTTCAACATAGCATGTTTCCTTAATGATCAGATAGTAAGATACCTTCATCATCTCACTCTCTACACATCTCACTGATTGGATAATATTCAATAAATAATTCATTCATTCATTCTTCTTTCTCTGGTGTCAGGGTGATGATATAGTCCGATCTCTGGCGTGGACTTAAGATTGTTTAGATGTGTTTTTATGTTTTCTACAACAAGTGTGTTCTTTTGTCTGAATTCATTATTTTTAGAATAATTGTGAGACAAAAACATTCTGTATACGTGGGAAACATATTTATGGTAATGGAAAAAGCAACAGTCTCCTCCCAGACGAGAGAAAACAGGATTATGGTCGAACATTAAGGCGGAGGAGGAATGACTCCGGGGAACATTAGAGCCGAGCTGTGGGCTCGAGGCGCACGCGCTTCATATCCTCCATTAGTGGAAATGTCTTGTGACTGTTCAGCTGAAGCACACGGGAAGGAAAAAGAAAAGACTGGATATGACCGACATGTGGCTCCATGTGTATCGTACAAAGGATTACCTGCCAAATCTGTTTGCCATGACTCCCACGCTGAAAGAGCCCACCATGCCGCCCACACTGAAGATGGCAACAGCGACACTCCACACGATGGTGCAGACCCCGGGGCTGATGGGGACGCCATAACGCTCCACCCAGGTAGCGTTGAAGAACGAGCGTAGTTGCTTGAGGAAGAGACGGAGGAAGAGAGGAAGTGATGAAAAATGTTGGATGTAGAAATAAGTTGAGCTGCATCATCAGCGTGCAACACTAGCTAACAGCAAAACAAGCGTCCAATGAATGTGCAGTGCTTCTCAACTGGTGGGTCCGGACCCAGAGGTGGGTCGCAGAGCCATTCTCAGAGGGTCACAACTGTGTGCCGAGGAAAAATCTTACATAAAAGAAGTATTTGAAGCACTTTTTAAACATGTTGGTTTGGTTCAGTTCCTTGTTTTTGTCACATGATTTGAACTGACTGAGGTCCATGCTGAGACACCTTTCCAGTAAATTAATCTGATTGGTTTTTAGATTAGCTTAGAGCCTCCAGAATCGACACTCCCTGCAGGAAGTAGTGTGTACGTTTACTGCTTGTAGCTACACTAAAAGCTAACTCAAGCTAGCACAAGCTAACCGCCGGTGTTTGTCACCTGCCTGTCCAACAGGAAGTAGATCAACTCCACGTCCACGGGTAAAAGAAACACAAGGTTCACCCTCGTTTCAGAACTAAATGTATCTGCTTGCATGATTATATTTTCTCTTCTCTGCCGCTACATCCACCTCCGTCATATTCACCGGTTTGAAATTACTTTATATAAGTCTATAATCTTTTTTTTTTTTGAAGGTAAAAGTGACTGACTCTGCATTAAAGATTGTCATGGTTAATACCACTCATTTCTTATCTCAGGTCAGAGAGAGAAACAGCATTTGCAAAATGACTATCTTTGCAGAACACCTGGTGTTCACATGTGAAGGGACAAAAGGTAGAAACGTGAAACGTCAGCAGCTGATCACCAACCTGCTCGGGAGCGTTGATGACTCCTGTGTTGTAACCAAACTGCAGAGAGCCGATCACGGCGGTGCCCAGCGAGAACAGGAGGTAACATGTCACCTGCTTTGGCTGCAGGGACACAGGAAGAAGAAGAGGAGGAGGAGATGTCAGGGAGGAGAGGAAACAAAGACAAATGTGCAAATTTAAGGGGAAATGAAGGAGAGAGAGAGAGAGAGAGAGAGAGAGAGAGAGAGAGAGAGAGAGACAGAGAGAGACAGAGCGAGAGAGAGAGAGGAGTACCCCTGATATTTAGACAGATATCTCATATGAACACAGAGTTTATCTTTTATTAAGAGTGTAAAACTAAAACATCACTAAAAGCTATATATACAAAACAATAGGCTGACTACATAGGAAATTATTTTGGGCCTGATTTCCCCTGATGATGACCCTGATGATGACCCTGATGATGACCCTGATGATGACCCTGATGATGACCCTGATGTCGACCCTGATGATGACCCTGATGATGACCCTGATGATGACCCTGATGATGACCCTGATGACGACCCTGATGACGACCCTGATGACGACCCTGATGACGACCCTGATGATGACCCTGATGTTGACCCTGATGATGACCCTGATGATGACCCTGATGATGACCCTGATTATGACCCTGATGATGACCCTGATGATGACCCTGATGATGACCCTGATGTCGACCCTGATGATGACCCTGATGATGACCCTGATGATGACCCTGATTATGACCCTGATGATGACCCTGATGATGACCCTGATGATGACCCTGATGTTGACCCTGATGACGACGATTTGAGGCTTATCGCAACCGATTATTTGTCCAAATAATCCTCAAGTGTCAATAGGATTATTTTACTGCTCTTAAATATTGAACATGTTTGGTATTTATGATTCCAGATCAGTCCTCCTCCGACTGAATCCCTGCAAAGACGTTGAGATCGGACAGACCGGGAAGCGTCTCCAAACGGATGTTGCATACTTTTACATCTCACAAACATGGCAGCCAACAGAAAGCGTCTACTATCTACACCGTCTTCTCAGGATTTCACCCAGCCAGCTGACAACGATGATCCTAAATCTGCTTTTTGAACATTTCTGCTTTATAA